GCTTTTACCACGAGCACATGCGCTCAGACCGCGACAACTACCTGACCATCAACTGGAATAACATCGAGAACGGAATGGCCGACCAGTTCAAGAAAGTGTCCAATTCTCGGAACAGACTCTACACTAAATTTGATTACAACTCAATCATGATTTACGGCACCAAAGCGTTCAGCAAAAACGGCAGAAACACAATGACTCCCAAACAGAGAGGCGTTAGGATTATGGAGTCTCACTATAAGAGGAATCTCAGCCCTTTGGATGTCCAGACACTGAACGCTATGTATAGGTGTAACACGAATGGCAATTATAATGTCAGAACATAGATGTGTGTACAGATCATGACATGATATAACGTTGTTATTTAATTATGTTTTTGGCACTCATGTATTTAATAAATTCCTTGTATTGCTTCAATTATTTCTAATATTTGATAACAAATAATTACAATAATAGCATTGTAATGATTTAACTGTTACGCAAAATACAAATTCTTTTTAAATGTATCATATATAATAGTGATTTAAAAAATTTATTATATTGTTTAGATTAAAAAAACATGTAATTAAAATAATAATTGCTTTGTGCTTTGTTAAGCAATTAACATTCTGCAAAAAACCTTATAAGATTCTAAATTAAAAGTATGTTTAATCCGATTAGAAACATATTTTTAATGACAATTCTGTGTAACAATTAATTACAGAAAACTTTTATTCGTTATTTACTCTGAGGCAGATTATTACTAGTATAGAAGTTTTGTATTAAGTATTGTTATCTAATAAAAAAGTACAGTATTATTCGTAGACATAACAATCTGAACCTTTTCAAACTTAATGCAAGAAATTAAGTACACGCTTCCAAAGAGTTTGCAATTTAATATAAAAATTATTATTTATAAAATTAAGCTAGGTACCTCAATCATACCCTATGGAATTTAATATGAAATTCCAGTTATGGTTAAAATTATAGGGAGAAAACCATCACGTTTCTTTGTATGAGTTACGATAAACTTATGGTTAAACTAAACGAATGCCAATATAGAATATCTATCGAGGTTTGAATGCCATTAAACAAATGCACATTATATCACAAAATATACTGCAGTTTACAACAAATGCACAATTTATATGTTTTTGTGTGCATCTGTCAACTCAACAAATACCAATTATCACGACGAATACTCTCTCTCTCTCTCTCTCTCTCTCTCTTCCAAACAGTATGTATTACAGAGAAATATATAATATATTTTATGCCAAAATTTACACTACATTTGCTTATAATAATGCAATACATTATTTACTCAATATTATCTACAGTATACTTACGTATATATTATGCACATACTATAGGCGAGAGTTTACTATTTTTTTTGTCCGAAATTTTCCATAAATATTTAACGCAATATTATTTTCAGACTATTTTTTGTTCACAAAACTTACTGTTTATACAAACGCAATAAAGAATATTTTTATATTAAATGTTTTCTTTTTGTTAATAAATATATCAATGAAATAATGCAAAATAATGCTCTCTTTCTCCATACAGACTAAAAGTTATAATAATAAGTATAATAACTACAACTTATGTTTAGTTATAAGTTATTTGCAATGTATTATTGATATGTATATAATGTTTGTTATTCTCATTCTGGCGTATAATCCGTCGGAAAGTATGCCAGACATGAAAAATACAAGATTTTCAGTCCTTGTATTATAACTATTCAAGAGTCGGCATAAAGGAAATCGAAAATATTTTTATCTTAATGTTTTTGTTGTCAATTTTGTTATTATTATTGTGCATATTTACGATATATACTGTATATTCCCATTGATATTATTACCATCATAAAAATAGCATCACAAATATCTATGCTTATTTATGTTTGCAATTGTTGTTGTCATTTGATTTGAATGTACAATATATTCTGTACATGCATTCTGTGTATTGAAAAGCATTGATTTTTAATCTCACAATATATACAGTAAAACTAAAAATAGTCTC